TATCAACAGGTACGTCGTGCTTTGCACCAACGGTATAGAGAACAGATTGCATGTGACGAAGATGGAAATATCAGTTTTCCAAAATTATTCGCGCGAAAAGGTGGTTAAATAATATCTGAAAGAAATAATATAAAATTTCCAATTTGAATCATAATTAATTGTTAAAATTTCTAAAGTGCCTTTATTAAAACATCAAATTATCCATAATAGAATATTGCTTTAAATAGAATTTCCTCATAATGGAGAAAATTTAAATAGATAACACGTGCCATTTAAATCTCTCTGGGCTGGTGTTTGTCAAGCTCGGTTGAATTCAGCTAAAAAGCAAGGAAATCGCGAGGCAAAGGTCACGATGGCCTTCCAACTACCTTCAACGTAACGTGTTCCCCGAAATATCAAACGTTCTCGTTGAGAGCGGAGAAATGGTATTCGGCAGAATAATTGCAAAGCGAATCTGCAGCAGCGCATAAACAATTTTTACTGTGGCGGGGGAATAAAAATTGAAATTTCCCGGGCTCGCCTTTTCATGCTGGTCTCTGCTGGTCGCCGTGTTGCGAGCCGGAGAATATCGATCTGACCCGGGGTCGATGTACCGCTACGCGAAATTCATTTTCAGCGAGACCCCAGGAGAGATATTCGAAAAATTCACGAGCGTTTTTTAACCGACAGAAACAAAAGTATCCGACAGAAACAAAAGTAGACGAAAAAAAAAAAAAGAGAAAAAGAATAGTCACTGTTGCTGATAGATACAGCAATAACGAAGTTTTATTGTTCGAAACGGAGATGGTAGTCGGTGGTAACTCTTTTACCTTTCGTATTGTTGAAACAGGGATTTTGTAATCGTTACAACGATCATTTTATTATTTCATTACGTTGTTGTACATCAAACGGTCGATTTTGGAACGTGAATTCATGACATAAAAGTTTCACAATATGTCACTTGTGATACATTAATTTAAAGTTTGAAGCTTGATAAAATTGACTACATGAATGTTTCATTAATATTTTTCAATTAAGGCTGATTCTTAATTGGAACATAAGAATGTCATTGCTTGATGTAACTGGCAATCAGTCATTTTGTATTAGGATTATTAATGAAATCTTCGTATAGTTATCTTCATTATTCTTCAGGCTTTAGATTGATGTATCATAAGTGCCATTTTGAAACAATTTTATGAAATCTCGCGAAATTAGCATTCTGATAATGCAACAACTCTTTCCTTTCATTGGATCGAAGTTACGACAACTTTCCGTATATTTGCTCGCGAATTAATTAAGATTCATTAGAGCAATCGGGTTAATGGACGAACGGTGGAGTTGGTCGAAGAAACTCGGAAGTTCCTTCGCTCTTTCATTGGAACTCAAACAGCGATGAATCAATGATTCAGTTAAAACACTTCACTCTAGTTTAATCTAAACTTCAAATACAAAACTATTTAAAAAAAAACAGCTGACAATTCAATATTTAAAGAAAAAATTAAAATAAATACAGTACTGTTGAATAATTTTATAAAATGTAGGCGAGTTAGTCTTTAGAGAGAATAAACAGTGGTACTCGTGTTAAAATGGCGTCCGGTTTTCCACAACCGGAAGTTGCGGAAATTGTTGGGGCGGAAGGAACGGGTCGTCGTGTAATTTACACTCGGAGAATTTTATACCCCGGAGGCAGGTTCGTTTTTTCCCTGTTCACCGCAGAAATTTCTCCGTTCGCATCGACCAGGTATTCTTTTCCTCTCCGACGTCTATTATTTTCGAGGGAATATTCCACGAGCAACCGGAAGTAGCTGAATTCTGGTAACCTGGTCGACGAACCAGAAGAATTCTTTCTCCGCGAAATCGTCGAATATTTTCTTTATTTTCTCTTAAATTTCATCCTGATCGACTCTGATTCGATTCAATTTAACTTTTCTCAATTTTAACGAAGCAACTCCGAGGATCCTTGAGAAAGGATATAGGATCGGAGGGTTGCGCGATTAGGGGGATGATTTCACCGATCGGGGTCAAGTTGGTCCGGAAAGGAAGCACGGGTCATTTACACCTAAATGGAGAGTCGTGCGTGCGAATGTTCACGCCAGCTTTTACGTGAAAATCGCTTTAAACACTCTTCTATCTATAAAACCTATCAATTTTAATTCTTAAAAAGAAAAAAGAAAAAATCACCGTAATACGCATTATCACCAAATTTTCTTTCCCTCTTACGCAATATAAAAATAGAAACAGAAAGAAAGAAAACAAAGTGACGGAAGTAACTAAACCGTCTAATCGAATTTATTCTTCAATGGCTTCTTAGAACCAATTTACTTCGAACTGTAGTAATTATAGAATATAGAGAGGAGGGTGCGTTTCTCAAAGTGTTCCCCTCGAACAAGGGATCTTTCTTTACAGAACGCTCGCCGGTTTTGCTGTCGAATTATATCGAATAAGCGTATCCCTGTTCGGGAAATTCTGCAACACCTCTGTCGTTGCAGGTTTCGTTACTGCACGAAGTCTGTCCCTGACGGGAAGTCGCGGCCTCGAACCGAAATTACAGTTTATCAAAGCAGAAAGCCGCGCAATCTGCTAGCGACGCGAACCAGCCAAGTTTCGATCGTGTCTGGGAAATGTTTCCCACGTTTCACCCGGACGAAAAGTTTTCCCTTAAATTCGTGTCGTTCAAAGTCTCCATTCTTTGATACTTACAATCAATTTCGATGATTTTCCAAGGGACATTATTCATTAAGGTGACGATTCAAAGTCAGAAGGTTGAATTTAAAAAACTTTTTATTTCTAATCAATATCAAAATCTTTTACAAAAGTTAGTCGAGACCTTTCCTCGATATTGTCCTATTTTGAGGGCGGTGAAACACGGAACTCCCTTCTCTTCGTCCAAAATTTAAGGAAGAAGAATCCTTGTTGTTTCCATTTGCAAGGGAATCGGCTGTTGAAGCATCGAGGAAGGATCTCGATCGAATCCGTCTAATGAACTCGCAGGAAGATATTCGACTGATCGAAGACACTCGGAGGCAAGCGCAATTTCATTCGGCGCCGAAGACGGCAACGAGACAGCGGAACTTTCCCTTTATTACGTTAAAAGTTTTTCACGAGCCGGTCCCTTGGGGGTGGTATCGCGTCCACGATGGTCCCGTTTCATCTCGCTGGCTAGCCACGTCCCTTGTTCGAATTAAAATCACTCCCGACGTGATTTCCTCCGCCCGTTTCTTAATTCACCTGCGAACGGTAATTTAACGTCGATCGATCTCCATCGATCATCTTCTTTTTGTCGTTGCAACGATGTTAAAGACCGGTGATTCCAACATTGGCGCCGATGTTCGAAGGATTTCAACACGGGGATAAAGCGAACGCAATTTTATCGTTTAATTAAGCGAGAAAACGCTGGAAATAACTCGAACGAGCCGAGTCTCGTTTAAAAAGGTCGTCGAAAGTTGCTGAGAATTGCAGCAAATGAGCGACGCTGATAAATTTTTCCTCTAACTGGAAGGAGATTTTTTTTTCTTTTTCGAGCATTTTACCAGGCACACGCAACAGTTACCAGCGTCACTGGCTTCTTATCGATTCGTTCCCTTAAGTGTAACTTTTTCTTTCAAAGCAGGCCACGTGAATACTGTAAATTCTTTGCAAAAATATTGTAAAATTGTTTAAAAAGATAAAGAAAAATACATCGTTCGATTTAGAACTCTTCATTGTTCCATGGATAATTAATCAGGTATAATTTAATTAAATAATTGTTAAGCAGCAGAATGACGAATGGGTGGTACGTCTATCGATCTCTCAATGTGTTAAATTAACTTGGAAAATTTTCTGAATCGTTCCGTTTCGCTCGATGTTTCAGTACTTTGGAAAAATTTCCATTACTCCTCCTCCTTGTTTTTCCTGTAAATGTTTGGCCGATCGATCGCGAAAGCGTTCCGCCGCGCGTGTCGGCGTACAAGCCCCGTCAGCGTTCGAGCTGAACGAGCTTTCAGAGCTTTCAGCTTGTCCTGTTTTGCGTTCACAGCTTTGCGACCGCTTCCAAGAGAATAAAGAGCCTTTATTATTTATAAAAAAATTGATATTCTTCCATGATAGGCAAAAGAGCTTTTGAATTTTCAAAGTCTTATCGTGCCGATGATGTGTAAAGAGAGGTATCTCCGTTTTCCAAGAACAGTCAGCCATTTTGTATCAAGAATATCCATGAAACCTGTATATAATTATTTTCTTTAAACCTTTAAACCACAAGTGCCATTTTGTCAAACTTTTCTGTCATGAAATCCTGTCAGACTTTTTACGTTACGATATCAATTATTGTTCGCTATAATCGTTAACCATTTATTTTGTATTTCGAATATCATCGAAGCATTTATGCGATCATTTTTGTTATACTTTACGCTTTAATTTGATGTGTAATAAGCGGTATTTCGCGAAACTTTTCTGTCATCAATTACCGATTTAATACGCCGCAAGCGGGTGTACCGGAAAAGCGCGGGAAAATTAATTCGTTCGTGGAGGAACGAGATATTTCCTCGTGGAACGAATGGAAGAACGACGAGGAGGGTGGAGACCGTTCGGTTTCTGGCCTGCGGATGCTCGCTAATCAAATAGAAATGGAATTTCCATTAATAATAGGCCGCAGCTCGGTAACGTCGTTTCCGGGCATATTGAGCTGCTGGGAAGCGCAGCAGCGCGATAAAGCTTTTGTCTTGGTGGATGGAACCGGAGCATCCTCGTGTTCCCGCGCGGATGCGGCAAATGGGATTAAAACGATAGAACGATGCTGAGGGCTCCCTAAGGATCCCCTTTAATCCTTCTTACTACAGGAATTTTCTGTTTACACGTGTATTCGCTTAGACGCACGCCCGCGGAATTTCCGATCGCTTGTTATCGTTTCATTTATTCTGCGCTGACGAATACTTTCCGCCCGGGAGAATTTCTTACAATAAATGAAATACCCCTCGGAGATTGTTTCTCCGATTATTGATTGCTCCCATTAATTACTAATTGAAAATTTTTTTCATTTTATTTAGCAGATGCACAAACGGTACCAACGCTGTGCGAGCTGGCGGCGCGTTGCGTCGCCTCGCATATCCCGTTCGAGCTGGTGGAACACGTTTACCCGCCGGTACCCGAACAGTTGCAGCTCAGGATAGCCTTTTGGAGTTTTCCGGACAACGAGGAGGACATCAGGCTTTATTCTTGCCTGGCAAATGGCAGCGCGGACGAGTTCCAGCGCGGCGAGCAAGTGTTCCGCTCGAGGTGCGTCAAGGATCCCTTGCAGATCGGTGAGTGATTTTCAGATTCTTTTATTATAATCATCGAATAACAGAATATTCGTAACAGAAAGATGTAGAAAAGTTTGAAACAGGGGGATGAAAAGGAAGAATGGGGTAGTTGGCCGCTAATTAATCGCGTTAAGTCGCTTCGTCAGGAATTAACGCCCTCGTTCCATCGGATCGATCCAACGTGTTAACGTTCATTCCGGCGTCAGTTTACAGAGAGAGGATTCTGCGACACTATTTTGGACAGGGAAACGTCAGAGTCAGGTTTCCAATTACGTCTATCCCGCGTTTCACGTCTGAAAGGGAAGCCTCCGGGCGAACCTCCTCGTGTGCTCCAAGAACTTTACACAATACCCTATTCGCTCCACGAATAAAGAAGCTGGTCAATTTTCGGACGCTCGGATCACGATATCGCGTTCATTCAGATCGTTCAAAGACGAGAAAACAAACGAAAGATGATTTATTTCTGACGTAGAAATCTTTGATCTCGTGTCTTTCATCAGGAAAAAAATATCGTTATAAAAATCATATTTATATAGCATGCGACGCGCCTGGTGAGTCATTGGTTACAAGTATAATAATTTCATTCTCGAATTAAAATAATTCGATTTCTGAATGTTTCTAAGAAAATAGGCTCGCGAAATGTCGTAGCTTAATTCTTAATTTCATTCTCTGACCAAGATGTACCTGAACGGTTAATTTCCTCGAGCTAATTTACGCTGCGCTCTATATAGAATCCCGTCTTCCTCTTTGTGTTCCGTTGTCAGCTATCCACAGCCCCGGGGCGTTGTTTCTTAATGCAGTCGAATGACGTCTTTATCACTGTGTTTGCTGAGAAAGTGCTCGCTTCAACTTCTTCCGCGACGACCAGCAGCAATCTCTTTCCTCTTTTGAAAAACCGTTTACATTTCACGGTGCAAACAATGCCTGGTATACTGGCAAACTGTATTCAAATATCTTTGATGCTTCTTTTTTTTCTCGAGTTGTCTCATAAATTTTATTTATTATTGAAAATTGGGATATTTGATTTTTGAAACAGCGCATAATTAATTCTTTTACATTCGACAGGATTCCACCTGAGCGCCACCGTAATATCCCAAGGGATGATGAACGGTGTTAGAACGCAGTTCAAGGTCGCAGTGACGTTTGATCGTCGAAAAATTACGTCCTGTAATTGCACCTGCTCTTCGAGGGCTAATTGGTGCGCCCATGTGGTTGCCGTTTGCCTCCACAGGATACACATGGTAAAAACAGCACCCCTTTTTTTAACCCGTAATACTACAGTGATTTAAGGTAGATTTTTGTATGAAATCACCCATGATTTGTATCCAGCCGACACAGGTGTGCCTGAGAGCTCCGGTCAGCGAATCGTTGTCCCGTCTTCACCGGGAACAACTGCAAAAGTTCGCTCAGTATCTGATCAGCGAGTTACCGCAGCAGTTTCTGCCCACTGCTCAACGTCTCCTGGACGAGCTGTTGTCGGTTCAACCAAGCGCCATCAACAGTTACTGCGGAGCTCCTGATCCAACGGCTGGAGCATCGGCTCACGATCAAACCTCCTGGTACCTCGACGAGAAGACTCTCCACGACAACATCAAGAAGATACTCATCAAGTTCTGCGTACCAGCTCCGATAGTCTTCAGGTGAACGCATAAACTTGCCCAGCGACCTTCTTTCTCGTTTTATTAAATTCTTTGAGCTTTTCTGTTCGAGTCCTCCCCCCCACCCCCCACCCCTTCTATCTCTACCCTCTTAGTAGGCTTTAATTCATGATTTCTCGTTGGGCTATAGTCGACGTCAAACATTTCGGTTGCTCGAGGTCATTCCCTCTACTAAGGGCCACGGCAAAAGGTATACCTGCATTCTCAGCTTCTATTTACACGTATCGTACCACCTGATCTGTGTGAATCATTCCCAAGAATTTTCCTTAATTCATCACTCGAGTCAACGCGTGCGTGATCGTCCATTAAACGATCGAAAAGCGATCGTCCGTTATTGCACGCGAGATGTATCATCGTTTCTCCTGGTTAATTGCAGCGATGTTAATTACCTGAGCACCACTGCGCCTCCTGCAGCTGCCGAATGGTCCTCGCTGTTGCGACCGTTGCGAGGACGCGAGCCGGAAGGGATGTGGAACCTTCTGTCGATAGTGCGCGAGATGTTCAAGAGGACCGATCGGAACGCGATTCCGTTGTTGGAAATCATCACCGAGGAGTGCATGGCCTGCGAGCAGATCCTCGTCTGGTGGTTCAACACGAAGGTAGCGTTGCTGAACGGGACCGGATACGGTGGTAAACACAATATGAACAGCAACGTGCACGCGTCCCAACATGCCTGCTCGTCATTGTGCGACGAGATTGTAGTCCTTTGGAGACTGGCCGCTTTGAATCCCGGCCTGTCGCCGGCTGAACGCGAGATGCTTCACGGTCAGTTCACCGCCTGGCACATGAAAGTCATCGATAAGGTAAAGTACCCCGGTCGTCGCCATGATTTGTATAAAAGAGAACTTAAATTTATACTTAATTCAACGTGTGTTCAGGTGACGAAAAGTCGAGGCAGTTCAGTGACGCACAATTCACACAACAGAAACAACAGCGGCGGTCACAAGGATTCATTGAAGAACGACCTGGCCGTGTTCACCGGTTTCAAGTCCGCCCTCGAGGCGTGTTATCTGGACTGGGAAGAGTACACCTTACCAGGTATCACGTACACCGCCGGAAGCAATCCCATGTATCATTGTCCGTTCACCTGTTTTCGGCATGCCGGCGATACGAGGACCGAGGTGAATCAGGTAGGTCGTTCGATCGATTCAAAGAAAAACAGGATAATGTAATCCTTGGGAATTGATACAGGTGAACTCGAGCGCAGCAGTGTTAAATTGTCAACCACCTGTGTCCCACCATCATGGAAGACGACCGTTGAGTTTGGGCTTGGTGGAGTTCAGTTGGCGAGAGATTCCGCGAAAGGGTCCGGGAATGTCTTCGAGGAACGGCGGTGGCGACGGGAATCGGAGTAGCGTCAGTTCGGAAGGTTTCTGCGAGAACGAGACCGATATGCCCGATATACCCGAGCCTCAGGTAGTCCTCGTTAGACGTTCTTGCGCTCAACTGAATAATTGCGGGGACACGGATTCGCAGGTTCGTCTTGATTCGTCTTTTCTCTTTACCTTATCGTCTCGTGCACTTTGATTGATACGCTTGTTCCAGGAGGGTGGTGGCAGCGAGTCGTCCTCCAACAGCAACGTTAGTCTGAAGAACGCTCAAGACTCGGACAAGCACCGCTCAAACGCCTCGTCCGAGACCCATAGTGATAGTAGCGATAGTAGTAATAACAAAGCTGCCTGCGGTTCAAAGAGCGAGCAGGAGTCTGACCAAGAGAAGGATCCCTCCAGAAGGCCCTCCAAGGACGAAAGTTCTTCGTCCAGCAGCGATAGCCCGTCTGGCGACGAGTATCATGTATATTATTACGATCCAAAGGCGGTCGCAGGTACCAGTGGCAGCTCTAGCAAAGATTCCAAGAACGAATCGCAAGCAAACACCGCGCCAAACGCGAGCATGGTGTTGGGTAACCTAATGAAGACAGAGGACCCATGGGACATACTGTTCGCCAGAGCGGAAGGACTTTACGCCCATGGGCACACGAGAGAAGCTTGCATCTTGGGTGTTCAACTTGGCGAGGAGTTGCTGGCTAATCCACCGAATCTCATGATCGACGAGCCACCGGCGCCTGTCAAGGGGAAAAAGAAGAAGGTAGATTCATTGGAAAGACTTGGTTTCGTTTGCTGGTTCAGTAAGGACCCGTTCCAATTTGTTCAAAGAATCCGGTGCATAACGAATACAATTACGATGTTTTAGCAACAAGTAAATCCGGCGTCCCATCAGCTCACGTGCCTTGCGTCCGCCACGTTAGCCAAGTGTTGTTTCCTCTGCACGGTCCTCGCTGAGAATCCTGAATATCACAATTTGGCCTTCAGGGTCGGCCTGTTTGGCCTGGAAATGGCTAGACCGCCTGCTAATACCAAACCTTTGGAGGTAGACAAGAAGACTAGTTTTTCATTTCGTTTCCTTTTAGTTGGATATTTCTTGGAAGAGAATGATTTATTTATATTTTATCGTTTGGTCTTCCAGGTAAAATTAGCTCACCAAGAAAGCGAATTGGTTGGGCTTTTGAAAAGAATTCCACTCGGTCCAGCGGAATTGGCCATGGTTCGACAAAGAGCCGAGCAACTGAGAGACGGGGTTCTAAGGTCCAGGGGTCACGCGCTGCTTCCCATCATGCTGGCTAGTTTCATATTCGACGCCCTAAATGCACCAAGTATGCCTTTTTATTTTCATTATCATTTCTTCTGAAATTGAATACTTGACGAGAGAAACGTTCCATGCGATACGGTTGCATGATTGATGAGTTTAGGTTGAAGGATATCCTTTTTCAGAGAAGAAAGTGTTAGCGTTTAAATAATTTAGACGGAAATTAAAATATTGTGGAATGATTCGCAGGACTAAAACGACTGTCCTCAGGCATTGACGAGAATCTTGGGTTCGACGCGGCCGTCGCTGCATTAGGGTTGAAAGCGAACGTGAGCGAGGCTGACCATCCGCTTCTTTGCGAAGGCACTCGACGACAGAGGTACGTTTCACGCGTCTTAATCCTTATTACATTATTATTATTCATTATTTATTTTTTCATTGTTTCAGAGGTGACTTGGCTATCACGTTGCTTGTCCATTATAAGGATGAGCCAACGAAGGTTGCCAGAATAATGGACAAATTATTGGATCGCGATGTTCATCAGTTAATCAAATCGCCAATTTTGAGCAGTTATTACACTTCCAATCCTCCAACGAAGAATGAGGTATAAAACGGTTTCATTTCGAAGTTGCATAACGATTAACAAATATAAGCGAAGAACAATTTTTTGGTTCACCAGATGGCAAGATATCTTCACGACGAAGAGTGTTCCTCTCCTCTCGCCGGAACGGATGCGGGAAATGGTGACAGCGTTGTTGGTACCAGCAGCAGACCGCATAGTAGCACCAGCGCGGAATTGGAAACTGGCATGAGTGCGCTCACGGTGCAACCGCAAATCGTTCAGCAACCTGTGCCTACTAGAACTAAAGAAACAAGGTTAGTACCTCGATGATTTTCGTGCACAAGTCTTTAGATTCTTGGTGAAGGTAACGATGCATTGATCTGTTATAGATACAAGAGCAAGAGGGTGTATCCATCGATTCCCAACCAGCCATCCGAAGCAGGAGCACACTTCATGTGCGAGTTAGCAAAGACGGTTCTAGCGAAAGCTGGTGGCAACAGTTCCACTTCGCTGTTCACTCAGGCATCCACGAGCCAGAATCACCACGGACCTCATAGAGCCTTGCACATGTGCGCCTTTCAGCTCGGTCTATACGCTCTCGGCCTCCATAACTGCGTTACTCCAAATTGGCTGAGTCGCACTTATTCGAGCCACGTGTCCTGGATCACCGGCCAGGCGATGGAAATCGGAGCTCCGGCCATTTGGTTCCTCATAGAAAGTTGGGAAGGGCATTTGACACCACCGGAGGCTGTCAGCATAGCCGACAAATCGTCCAGGGGCAGTGACCCCAACATGGTTCGGGCGGCCGCTGAACTCGCTTTGTCCTGCTTACCACACGCTCACGCGCTCAATCCGAATGAAGTTCAGAGAGCGATTTTGCAGGTAGGAATTTTCTTTTCGCTCGTGGTACACAAAAGTTTCTCGAATCGAAGAGATTGTGCACGGATCCTGTTTCGTTATAGTGCAAAGAGCAGAGCGACCTTATGTTGGAAAAGGCTTGCATCACTGTGGAGAATACCGCGAAAGGAGGCGGTGTATATCCGGAAGTACTTTTCCAGGTTGCAAAGTATTGGTATGAACTGTATCTCAGGGTAAGTAAATTCTATCAAACGATGAAGGACAAGAGAAGTATCAGTCATGCACCATGAAGAAAGATTAATGAATTTTGTGCAATGTAGCACACTCCTGGTGGAGAACAGCAAGACAACATGCCGCACGATTCTTTGCAATTGGATCTCAATGGAGTGCTTTTAGTAGAGCCTGGACCATCGGTGGATATATCCAATGGTCAGATGATGCCAGGACCGGCTCAAGCAGTGGTGGTTACAAGCACTCAACCACCTCCTCAACCATATCCTACGCATCCGACTATAACTACCCTGGCACCATTGGGTATTTGTTTCTTTTCTTTCAGAGCTAGCAATGTAAGTATGCATTTTACTAAATGTATATTGTATTTGATTGCAGGGGTTGGTATGCCGTATGCAGTAGGCCCCTACAGTTTCGTACATCCCCATCACTCGATTCCTACGTTCGGTGGACCGATGCCTTCGCATAGGGTAACTCTACCACCAGCACCGCCGCACATGCAAATGTATCATGCGGCATTCCCGCCTCATCCGGGTCATCCGCAGCATCCTCAACATCCGCACCATCCGTCACAACCCACGCAACCACCATCTCTGCCGCAATACTACACACCGCAACCCCCACCACCACCGGGGACTCATCATTTGTTCACCATGCAACAGCCTATACAAGTTAATGTAGGTATTTTGGCTTGCTTTAATTGCTCGAAGCGCATCATTCGAGCAAGTCGTTCCTTTTCAGGTCCAAGCGGGTGTAACCGGTCCTATACCAGGTCAGAGCAACATGCCTGGATCAGCGTTGGTTCAGACACAGCCCATAATATCCACCGTAAGAACTCAGCCGCAGGTAACTGTATAATCTGCGTAGCTTTTATTATGAACACATTAATTCCTCGTAACGTGGATGCTCTGTTAATAACACGACGTTACGTTTTTAAATATCAGGTGCATAGGCAAACACAACCCTTCAGCCAACAACAGCTACGATCTCTCGTGGCGGCGTATCGCGTTGGCATGTTGGCATTAGAGACTCTAGCTCGCCGGGTGCACGATGACAGACCCCAGGCGAAATACGCGCGGAATCCACCGTACGGCGAAGACGTGAAGTGGTTGTTGAGAGTGTCCAAACGTCTCGGTACTCAGTATCTTCATCAGCTTTGTATCTGCACCGTGAACAGCATCATTAGTCCTTTCGTTCTTCACGACGTTGCACTGGAAGCGGCGGTCTACCTAGCTAGAAATAATCCAGCTCTCGTGTTGCAACACTTGAGATCCGCTCCGTTGGCACCCCTTGTGCACAAATGTCAACAAATGTTAGCCTCTACCTAAGACTCTCTTATTATATTTTCTCGAACATCAACCGTGACGATAAATCATGTTTTTGATTTTATCGATTATAGGTACATTCAGTGCATGCACCAGAAGCTGTATCACTTGACAGGAGGGGACTACGAGGACTTTGTGAACATTGTATGCGAAGCGAAGGCAGCGTTTCACATTACACCAGAGGGGCATGCTCAATTCAAGGATTGGCTTCAGTCCATTAAAAGGTATCAATTTTGTTGAAGTATCAGGCTAGAAATTTGAAACTTTCAGTTTAAACAAGAGGTACCGTGGGAGTGGATAAGGTAATTATCCTCAGCCTCATTGTCGCAAAAATGACTGTGTTTTTTAGATCTCAATCCTGTAACAAAGATCTCTGGGCACAAATCAACGCGGCCCTCCAACAGAACGGCAAATGACACAGAGCGGAGCCAGGCGTGACGTGGCTCACCTCCCTTCCTCATCCTCCACCACCCCCGCCACCTCCTCCACCGACGACGACAACAACCCTAGTGCTTCAACATCAGCATCCCTGTCATCCTCATCCACAGAGCGTCGTATGCGTTCACGGGCTGGCTACCCTCGACAAGCTGGAACAGGATCTCCATAACGTTCATCGTCGACGTACCACCGTCGCCTCAACAGTGGCATCGTTTACCAACGATCATCGGACCATCAAGCTTAGGAACGGCCGATAATTAATTAACTTCTGATAGGAGAAACAAGCGGATCGATCCCACTGAGCGAGATATAATTCTGTGTTTAGTTAATCTGTCTGAAAGTTTTGAGCGAAAGAGAAACGGCGAGGGAGTATCGAGCGTGAGGATCAGCGAGAAAGAGAGAAGAGGAGAGATAGATTCTGAGCGTTTGTGTGCGCGCGTGAGAGCGAGAGAGAAAGAGAGAGAGAGGGTAGAGAGAGTTAGTATGACTATTCTTTTAATTAAGGAACGTGCAGGTTTTGCAAATTACACTTTATCGTCACCGACCGTATCTTGGAAGATTGAGAAGCGATAAATCATTCAGACGAATCGTGTCGCGTACGTCGATCGCTATTCAAGTTGGTTTTCTGTTTTTTTTTTTTCTTCTTCAATGAGAAGCAAGTTGCATTGGAATCGAAGAATCAAAAAAATTTCAGGTTTCTCTGGATCGCCATCGGTAATTCTGCAAGGAGAATCATATAGTTGGTTCGACACACGGAAACCATTTTCACTTTTCTTCTTCTTTTCTTACATACTTTTTTTTTATCTTCTACTGGTTTTCGTTAAGACCCTAAGATTGAAACATCTTTAGCTACGATTAGATAGGAAATTTTATTTTTCATTCATAGATAGGATGAATTCTCGCGTCTGTTATTTTATTTTTGTAAACAATTAAGCAAATTTTTAAAATATCGATCATACACATCTATATATATATATATAAATATATAAAAGGGATGACGATAAGGTCAGATTCGTATAAGTGATAAATTACTTAAATAACGTTGATGAAAAATTTTTATAGAAGTGAAACATTTTTACTTTCCTAAAATGACGATCGACCTCGTCCACCACCACCATCACAATCATCAATAACAATGACAACAGCACCGCCCTTCCAACAAATTTTTGTCTCCTTTTCATTTTATTTTGCTATGCGATTATATTTTAGTTCTTATTCCTTTCTCTCTTTACTACTTCTTCTTCATGTATCTTTCATTTTTCTTTTTTTCTTTTTTTTTTAATTATATTGTAGGCGTATATTATATCACGTTCGCAAGCATATTCTCGTTTCTTTGTCATTAACGACAATCCATAAACGAAACATGATCTCTGTAATTTTTAAATTAAAATAATTTGAAGAACGAATAAAGCAAAATTATAGCTGATGTCGCGTTTTCCAACTATTGAGCCACACCTGTCCACGATGAATAATATTTCTGAAGAACACAGTGTGACAAATATGTGTAACATAGTAATAGGATGTTCAGTTTCTGTTTATGTCGTTTTTCAACGCAATTTAGTTCCTTTTTCCTTTGAAAATAAACATTGATTTTGTTTATCCCGAACCTCCACCCTTCATCGTTTATCATAATTAAATACTTACCAGTTGGTTGGTCCATTTTCTTCATCGAAGAAAATCGTCATAGTTTGTTTAATTAATATTTCAAAATTATGTTCTATTTTATTAATTTCTCTGTAGGTGAAGAATGAAAAGAAATATAATGGCTCGACACATTCGTGGAAATGGCAAAGTAATATTAAATGGCACTGCCACTAATTAACAATACGATGGTCATGAAAAGAGCAATATTTAAGTGTTAATGCATTCTAACGTGATACTATAGATCGTAATATTGTTCCATGTCCTCGAAGAGTTAAGGCACCATCAAAATGGCAGCTAAATATATATTTTAAGTAATCGTATCATGTTGTCGTGTGGAAGATCATTTTATTCGACTGGGGGTATATAGTATTTTTTTTTTTTTGTTGGTAAATGAAAATTTAGAGCAGCTGAAATTCAAGGAAAATTATCAATTTGAATCAATTATAATTGGTACTTTAATCGACAAAAAAAAATTGATGGTATTAAAAATTTAATTGTCTACTTTAATAATTCAATTTTAAACAAATTTTAATCTAAAGATTATGATACAGAAATGTTATTTCTTCTTAATTCCTTGAATTTCTTCGATAATGGCCGACGTATGGGGGTGGGTGACGAGACTCGAGTGTACATCCGATTCACAGCTGCCCCGTGTGTACATATATAAATATAAAATGATCTAGTTCATATATCAAAGAAAAAAAAGAAAGAAAAACATGAACGACGTCGTAGTATATACTCTAGGTCCACTTCTTGCGTGTGTGCATTATAATCAATTTACTTATAGGCGTAGACACCTCACTAGCCTACTTAGCGTTTAGAAATGACACTAGATACTTAAAAAAAGAACAAAAAAAAAAAGGAAATGAAGAAACGATCCCTACGATTTTTTTCACTTAGACGGTTGAAAGGGAGGTTGCGGATTACGAGGTCGAACTGTAAAGTATTAAATCAAGGAAAAAATAAGATCCTAGACTCGAGATTTAGAACTGCTAGATTTCCTTTGCTTCTTGATCCGTGCGAGAATGTTTAGTTGAGAATCGTGCTGGCTGAAATTCATATCTGGAGCCATGGTTGATCCCCATACCACCCTATTCGAGGATTAAAGTATTATTTCTTTTTTATACAAAAGTAATTTTTTTTAATTAAATAAATTATTGAAAATTACAGAAATTTTCATTCTGTAAATCAGAATTTTTATAATTATTTTTAAGCTTATTATAAAATGTTATGAAAATTTTCAAATCTTCAATTTTTGAATTTTTATCTTCCATGATTTTTGAGAAATCTAATGAACGCCAGCTCGATTCCCAATGTATATATAACAAATGCTCGCGTTTCTACCCAAAAACAATGCGAAACGATCACTTGCTAGTATCACCCTCCTTGACGTTTCGTGTTCAGCGAATGTTCTATGGTTCACCAAACTGTGCTGAATTGTATATAAGATTTCACTACGTTTCGATGAGATTCTATTTCGTGGAATCACGTTTGAATATTGGATCAGCAATAGAGGAGAATTCGCAAATGGAACTCGAAAGTCAGTAGTTTCATTTTTAATAATCCAATCTGTTATCATTTTCCAACTGATTTTCTTAACTAAGCGTTTTCGAAACACTATAGAAGAGCTATTTTGATGTTCTTAGAGCATTTTCTGAACACTCTCAGTTTTAGACGAAAAATACGAGAACAAAAAAAAAAATATATTGGAAGGCGACAAAGTATCTATTTTTACACTTAATTGAAAAATGTCGAAGAAAATTTCGAATGAAAAAAAAAAAAAAATAAAGAAGAAGAAGAAGAAGAAACAGAGAAATGAAGAATAGTTTCCTCTCGATTCGAAGTATCTGGCCGTTTGATATAAAAATTAGAGAAGCACCGGAAGCCAATCTTCTGTCGAAGTAAAAAAAAAAAAAAAGGAAAATGATGAATATATTTATATATAAGGATAAAGAAAAAAGAAAAAAAAAAGGACGAACGTTCGTGGCGAACGAAACCGTTCCAGAATATGGATGTCTGTAAATAATCGTCGTTTAAATGAATTTTTTTAATTGCTAGCTAGCGAACGATCGCTGAGTAATCATTTCGATCGATGTTTCAATCGATACACGAAACTCTGGCGATGATTTTTAGACTTCCGTCTAGTATGAACGCAATTTATCGAGTTGCAGTAGCTTCGTAGAAACGCGAGGTCCTTATTCGTGAGACCTTGAGAAAAATGAAGAAGAAAAATAGAGAGGTTCTCACGAAGGAACCATTGGCAATTATATAAGATTGTACATACATTAACGATCGCATTGCACTAATAATAAGTGTGTAAGAGTTTCTCGTATGCGAACTCAAAAATCGCATTGAAAATTTTCTTTCTTTTAAAATTGAGGTTATCTATTTGCGGATAAAACAGTTCGAAATTGAACGTTTAGAATAGAAGAAAATCGAGAGCAATAATTTTTTAAATAAGACTCGAGGTTATCTGATCGTCTCAACGTGGATAATTAGTTTCAAAGGTTTCTCCCACAATAAAGTTCCAATTCGATTTCCTGAAATTTTGTCCTTTATTAAAAAAAGAAAAGGATTTGCGATTCTGTGTTCGATCGAGAAGTTCGAAGCCACTCGAATATTTAGATATAGACACATTTTTCTCGACAGATTTTTGAGAAACGTAATTTTTCACTCCCCCATTGAAATTAACACGAATGAAAAAAGAAAATTCCAATGTTATATGAATTCAACGAAATCGAAAGAATCTATAAAATCACGAGAGGTTGCGTTTTAAAAAATCATACGAAGGGATCGAATCTGTCGAGAAGGAAACTTTTGCTCTTCGCTGTTGATCGACTTTCATGATAATTATATAGCGTTAATATCCTATTTGTAAAACTTTTCTTCTTGACTTGCATTCACTGAATCACAGATGGCATTGTATATTGTAAACGGTGCATTTTTTTTTCTTTTTCGATCGCAGAATAATGTCGAACGATGTTGTACCGAGAAGGAGAAACATATTTCCGTTCGTTTCTTTCAATTCGAATGAGTGTAAATGAAATTTTTATGAGGTACTTGGTTTCGATGTAATTCATCAACGTAGGATACCAGCGTACTGTAACGTGTGCTGAATATATTTCGATTTCTAATTGCGTCCTTCGTCCGTTATCTTTCTATTGTATCGATCCACTGAAATACAATTTCTGATTTCACAAGTCGACTTTTGTCTTTACCTATCGCGAAAACCATCTAATTCTTTGTTTTAAACTTCTGAGGTTTCGAATTCATTGTTTTGAAAAGTCCGCCAAAAGTGTAGCCATCTAACAGAAAACCGCTCAAGTTAATCAGTATTGATCTGTTGGTTATATAGAATTCTACTTATCTTCATTGATCAGAATCTATTTTATTTACAATTGATATAAACTTTTTGAAAGTACTTCGCTGGCAGTGGACAGAATTACATATTTTCTCAATAAATAGTAAAGAGGAATATTTGTTCTCATTCTTCGTATATCCTCGATATTGTACTACACTATCATCATCACTTTTATGTATTCATATAAAACTATTTCCCTGTATCTATTTAAATTCACGATTAGAACAAACTCAATTCACACTATCGACTGAAAAATCACTTTCTAATAAAATGTTTGCGTTTCAGAAGATCAATCTTGCATCTCAATCACACATAAATACTGTATTGTCATATTTTCAGGAACAGCAAAACTGAGTCCTTATTGTTTCTTCCTGTCCATGAGTTCTAATTCTTTTTGGTCCTCCATAGGGATATCCGTGTCTCCAAAACCCCAGACATGACTGCCATCACCAGATCTGTTCGCTCTTCGTCGTACCATGGCTGGCGAGACGTATTTGCGATCGTATGCCCATCCAATATGTGAAAACATATCAATGAACGCAGTGGTTACATTGAACGTGTAATTCCCTAACTCTCCTGTCTTGTAATCCCAAGGGAAGACGTGATGGAAGTTGTGCCATCCTTCGCCGAGGGCTGCTATGGACACTGCCACGTTTTCGACGGGGGAAATGTACCTAAGATATTGGTTACTTACAAATTTCTAATTTTATAGTCGTTTTTTTTTATTTTAATTTTGCAAACTTACTTATCATAGGGTCGTTGACCCCACATGTGAGCCACGCTGTTCACGAAGAACGCTATGTTGAGGGTCACGCAGAACCGGAAGTTGAAGTTCACCCAGAAAGATATCCATACTGATTCTGACCAGAAGTAGCACGGCACACCGACCGGAAGTCCGACGGTTAGTAAAAGAAACAGAGGTATGTATAGTCTGGAGATAAAAGTGGTCGTTAATGAAAATTTTTTTTAAGGATTACTAAACAAATTTTTGTTATTTTTATTATTCTCTTTAACTACAATTTAATGATCAAGTCAAATTGTTAATACTAAGAATTTATCAATCTTGTTGAATTACCTCTTTTGCCACATGACAATGGGGTCAGCCTCTAAATCGCTCATGTCAACGGCTTTCCTTTTCGAAATTACATCAGGATGCGGTGTAATGAAAAGCCAGCCCACATGGGCGAAAAAGAAACCCCGTTTCACGTTATGGGGATCAGCATCCGTCTCGCTGTATTTATGGTGCACCCTATGATCCAACGCCCATGCGTACACGTGTTTCTATAAACGAAACAAAATTTTATTATCAATTTGTTTATGAAAAAAAAAAAATAATAATTCGAAAATGGTATAAAACCTGTCCTGTGATGGTAAACAGGAAAATGAGAAGTAGTCTTAGAGGCCATTTCGCTTTGTACGCCCTGTGGGACCAAAGCCTATGTGCACCCGCTGTTATGCCGAAACCGGAAGTGTATACAGTCACGAATGCTGCAACAGAACGCGCATCACGTGTATTTATAGTTTTCTAACTCGATACGCATCGAGTATATTTATAGTGTAGAACTTGACCGATTTGTCAATGCAGATGTTTGACAAACATATCTGATAAATATTAACAATTAAACTGTTAGTAGATTTAGCTTGAAACGGAAGTAACTATAATTGAGAGGGTAACTGAAATAAAACTTTTATATTATTTTGTCACTTATTAATAATTTCAAGGAAAATAAAAATTATAAATTTTAATCAAATTACATTACTGAATTATAAATGTTGATTAAAGTTTAACTAAATTGAAGCATACGTGACCGTTATTGATCATCAGATTTTAATAATTTGTGGAATTCTTGGCCAAGAACAACGTCATGGATTAATAATAATCTTACAGGAAATGACTAGAGGCTATTTCTGTCGTTGCTTTCAATTTTTCCTACAGAGACATTACGAGGTTGTTCAAGAAATAGGCACGCAGTTTGTTTCCGTTATGACAAACATTCTTTGGAAGAATTACATAATTAGTTAATAATATTTTGTGAAATTGGAAACGCCAGATATTCAAAGAAGATTTCTTATGGTTTCAATTTCAATACATTTTACCAAATACAATCTGGCAGTGGTGCAGCGTTATAATTTCATTTACATACCCCATAAAACTGTGAAAAATTTCGCTTTTGCGAAGATGAGGTAGAGACCGTAAACACAGCCGGCATGAATGAAGATCTGCGCGGTTAGATCCGGCCACGCGATGCGAGGAACGTATTCCACTTTACTGCTACTGTAATTCTCATCAACTGTTAAAAAATCGTCCGTCACCGCAATTCTGTTATTCGCCTTCGAGTTTTCCTCTTCATCTTCCGAGGCGTGACACTCCGCCGGTGGCATTCGTTCCTTATTCGGAGACATTTCTTCTTCTTTATTTATCACCAATTCAGTTCTGACTAGTTTAATACTGTATTTATACCTCGTACATTTTTAAGGTATGTTTATCGACTCTGCAGTTTCTGCAATTGAATTATTTATTGTTGAATCCAAATAACACTGGTCAAACTTGATGGAATTTTTGTAGGAATGAAAATTAAGGTTGATAATTAGCTCATTCTCGAAACTTGGGATCATTAATTTATGTGTTTAAGAAAGACAAAAACCTCAAGATTGTTTAAAATTTTAATCACATAGAGACCTATTCACAAATTGATAGATTTTCTTTATTTAAAATTTTTTTTACTAGCAGATTGCTATCACTATTCGCGACGAGTAGTTCAAAGAGACTGAACACTGTTCGAATGTTAGAGAATACTGCCTATCGATCGGGATACTGCCACTTGTGTTATCGCTGCCTCGACAATGGTATTTATTTTCAGATACTCGGTATTGAAGATTGATTATAATCAATAATCGTTGAAGATTAGATTTCTCAATTCATGAGAATTTTCAGTACCTAATTATTCATTTTTCACTTTAAGCTATCCATTTTTCTACTTTCCTATCAAAACTCAGATTATTTCAAATATTTCAATTGTTAATAGTACAAATTTCTGTTACTCTATTTCTCATCGAAAAATACTCACCAAATCGTGTGAAACCTGTGATGCTAAAAAGTATCTAACGACAAGAGAACGATCGATGGTGCTTTTAATATAATGGGCATCTATATCTACGATCTTTCGCGTTGATTTCAGGTTGCACCTGACACCTGAATCTAACACCTGTTTTCTGAAAATATGTACTTAATCTTTATCATCTTATTAATAATGTTCTATGAAACGAGTTTTATGATTCCGGGATACAAAAGGCACAAACGTAAAAAATTGTTTCATTTTTATTATAGAAGATATTTTAGGAAGCTGGAAATAAGCCTTTTAAATTTGCAATATTTTTTACAGCAGTACGCCTAAGATTGTATAGAAATTATTTTTATTTCCAAGAAATTCAACGTCTTCGACGTTATCGAGTTGACGGAAGTACGGCTCCATCAGTGTCAACCTAAACAATGTGAATTTAATATTGCCAGGGTGGCAGGGATGGCAAAGGGTGTTCGATTGCGAACATATCAGTTGCTCCGAGTGTTCGAGCAAACAGTGTTGTTGATAATCCAGCGAAGAGAAAAGAGACAGAACGGAAGAAAGGAATGTGTCTGGCGCCACGTGTCTTAGCTATGGGGGGTGGATGTAATTTGTTACGCCATAGGAAGTACAATACATCGTCGATCTTTATGCTAATGCTATTAAATGAAACTATCAGTGTATTTACATTTCCTTTTTCTCTCAAAACGACGTCAAAAACACCATAACAAAATATTTCAATTTGTCATTTTAAATTAACAACGGGATTTAAATTAACCCTTACAATTAGTCAGCCAGCGATTCCCATACCGGGTCAGATATTTCTTTACCAACGCAACAGCCTTTAATCAGGTTTTATTGTTAAGAATTTATAGTTCACGGTCGAATCGTTCGTCCTTCTGTTTAGATCGTGTTTATTCAAAGATCAGGTCGCTTCTCTATTACCGAAGCGATCATGAAACGATCTACTGAATTATTCCTTTGATAAATCGCTGCCTTAACCCTTTAACAGGGTGATCGATATTGATAATTAAGAAACTTTCGAGTATCTGATTTGAAACAGGGAAATGGGGGTATGAAAATTGCAATGGGGATCGATCTTCGCGATAGATGTCGAAGCAGATGAGACCATCGACGAATTTCTATAAATAATTACTTTCGTCACCGCATGGCAAGGACAAATCTGTCCGTGAAATACAAAAGCTAACAGTCTAATTTGATTTGTCCACGATTTACTCGAAGTCGAATCAAACTAGAAATCTGTCTAACTCTCTCTCGAGGTTAGTCGATATTAAAAACATTCCACTCGCTGGAGCATGTGATCCAGATGAATCACTATTCAAATGAAACGCGATTAAGAGTGACTTAAGATCAGTTGATGACGTGACGAATTTTCGAAATACATCTACAGTGGAAGATTTTTGTCGCAGTGGAAAGGAACGCGTTTGGTCAGACACATTTAGCGGACCATGGAGAGAGCCGCCAAATTATTTTTATTTCCCAAATTTCACACTGTTCCTTTCGAAATAAAAATCTTTGATTTTAGATTAATATTCTCGGTAATATGTTTTGTAAATTTGGGTCATGATTAGTAATGTAATTCAAAAATTTTCTTTCCTTTTAATAGAAAGATAAACATTTTCGAAGCTAATTAAATTGACACTTACATTAAAAAGGATTCAGTAGGCGTTTAACGTTCATTAGTTATTGTACTTCAAAAATTAATACCAATTACTGTATCTAAATTCCTTCAAAATTTCCTGAAAAACTGAATCACCATTTTTCTTCTTACGACCGATATCACTCACTAGCATTCTAAATTCAGCTGAAATTCTCTGTTTCTCGAATGAGTCATCCTTTACGCTAATGGCCGAGATTGTTCTTATCAGTATCGTGTATTCAGGCGATTGGGACACCTGCGAGATTATGTAGCCGGATTATGTAACATCAAGTTCGAAGAAAAGTGTTACAGGTGGTGTGGAATAAACAATGGTAAATAAATTTGACTCATTTGTAACGATGTGACACCTGTTCGACGCTCGTGATTCTTATTCACTCACACGCCCGAGTTCCGCGTCCCGGTTCGGATAAACACTGCTGTTGACGTTAACTCGCGCGCCTTAAATCCGCTTGTTACGTGCGCGAACTCGCGTCGCACGAGTCGCTTCGATCACATGCGGATCGACGCAAAACTTTCGTAAGTTTTCATCGCAGCCGAGTCAAATTCGTACATCGTTAATCGCTATCGCTATAAAGGTGAATTGCTTAACCCTTTCGTCCTCATTCAATCACGCGATGTCGCGTGCTTGACCTTTTGGTTTCACCCAAAGATAAGTGATAACCATAATAGATATTGCAGAAATCTTATTGCCAAAACGATCTACAATTTATGATACACGTACATACACGATACCATACAGATAATTTTATTGGAGACAAACGACGTTCTGATCGTCCGAAGAAAATCAATTCAAGTTAAGCTAGTACAGTTAATCGCGACAAAAGGCTGTTTGCAAAGAATTTTGTAAATAAATGTCTTGATTTTTGGGAACGTATTGTTTTTATAAACGAAAAGAAGTTTAACTTATGGAGATGTTTAATACGTATCAGACGTTAATAAACGTTTTATCGGCTGTTATCTTAGTTTGAAGTTATAACACAATTTCTACTGAGAGAACTACCCAAGTGTTACGCTCACTTATTAATGAAACTTTGCCACCTTGTAGAGCTCGTCGAGCTGAACACTCCTCCTTATGCCAGTTACTCCTAATGATGAGAAGTATGATAGACTCACACATACAAACGGTTACCTCCATGGTTAAACACATAGCTCGCAATCTAAAGGTCCACGGTTCAAATCCTTGGCTCCCAACTTTTTTTTTCTTTTCAATGCAGCGTATATAATTAATTATTAATAAATGCAACAATTATAGCACAGCTGTCCGACATTCCTTACATCTCTTCATCCCTTACATCCCTGCATTCTTTTTATTCCTACATTCCTTACATCTCTTCATCCCTTACATCTCTGCATCCCTTACATCCCTGCTTCCCTTACATCTCTGTATTCTTTTCATTCCTACATTCCTTACATCTCTTCATCCCTTACATCTCTGCATCCCTTACATCTCTGCATTCCTCACATTCCTGCCTTCTTTATATCCCAACATCCCTTACATCCCTGCATCCCTTACATGCCTGTATCCTTTACATCCTTGTATCACTTATATTCCTGCATTCCATACATCCCATTACCTCCCTGAAATTGAGTTGACATTTTTGCGGCTATAAGGCCAGCGAGTTTATACAAATTTAGTTCCCTTTTTCGCCACCAGAGGGCGCTGATTCGACATTGAAATTTTAGTTCACATTTTTGCCGCCAGAGGGCCAGAAATTGAGAAAGATTTAGTTCCTTTTTTGGCCACCAGAGGACGCTGGTTCGACATTGAAAATTTAGTTCACATTTTTGCCGCCAGAGGGCCAGAAATCGAGAAAGATTTAGTTCCTTTTTTGGCCACCAGAGGACGCTGGTTCGACATTGAAATTTTAGTTCGCATTTTTGCCGCCAGAGGGCCAGAAATTGAGCTTGCTATAGTTCCTTTTTTCGTCGCCAGGGGGCGCGGATTCGACATCGACCTTTTCAGTTCAAATTTTTGCCGCCAGAGGGCGCTGTTTTTTTCGAAATCTTCGCGAAATTCTACTAACTAACTTACCTTTACTTACCTTTACTCGAAGCAGTTTTTATAATATATTTATTATAAGGAATGTAGGGTTGAAAAGAATGTAGGAATGAAAAGAATGTAGGGATGAAAAGAATGTAGGGACGAAAAGAATGCAGGATGTAAGGGATGCAGAGATGCAACGGAACGAGGGATGTAAAGGAATTGCGTAGGGGTCCGGGGCTGGGGCCCCGTTCTCCACCTCACGCGGCCCGAGGAGTGCCGGCATCGGGTGTGGCCCCCGATGTCGGTGGAGTTTGGCACATGGCGGAGGGTCATAGGACCCTCCCTGCTGCCCTAGTGCAGGCCACCGTGGTGGTTTTAGTGGGTAAAAATCCCACACTACCTCCGGCCCCTCCCCAGGGGGGCTGAAGGTGTCTTTCTGAAGATTTCCACCACGTTAAAAAAAAAAAAAAAAAAGGGTATTTAAGAGTTGCAGGAATGTAAGGAATGCTGGGATGGAAAGAATGCAGGGTTGTAAGGGATACTGATATGGCCTTGGTCTATAATGAGGGATAAAATTATATAAACAACTGCAAAAAGTAAAATAAATGGGGTCTTCGGCTGGGACCCAGCAGAGGGATATAATCATAAATGTTATTCCCCTTCGATGAGCATATTTAATCAGCAAAAAAAAATAAATGAAGTAAATTAAATAAACTCTGCAAAAAAATTATACTGGTTGTGAAAAAATTATACGGACCTAACATTATCCAGGGGTGGTAGGGACCCTGCTGCGCCAATAACGTTCTTTGCGTACCGACCTGATATCATATTGGGGTATTAACGACCCCGAAACGCCGGCGACTATCTTTACATACCAATAATATAGCATCCGGGGTGCCAGGGACCCCGAAGTACCAGCGACTATTTCTGTATACCGACATGATGTAATCTTGGGGTTTCAGGAACCCCAAAGCACCGGTGACCCTGTTTGTATACCGACATTTTGGCATCCGGGGTGCCAGAGACCCCGAAGTACCAGTGGCTATCTCTGCATACCGACATGATATACTCTTGGGGTGACAGGAACCCCGAAGCAACGGTGATCCTGTTTGCATACCGATATTTTGGCATCCGGGGTGTCAGGGACCCCGAAGCACCGACGACACTCTTTGCTTACCGACACAACGGCATTCGGGGTATCTGAGACCCCGAGGTACCGATGACGCTGCATATCGACATTATGCCGCCGGGGTGTCAGGGACCCCGAAGCAAATAGCGAAATATAAGACCTAAAAACGAACAAATCGTGATGCTCACTTGTTCGGGATAGTGATGGGTGCGACCGGATCTAGCGAAATATAAGACCTAAAAACGAACAAATCGTGAAGCTCACTTGTTCGGGATAGTGATGGGTGCGACCGGATATAGCGAAATATAAGACCTAAAAACGAACAAATCGTGAAACTCACTTGTTCGGGATAGTGATGGGTGCGACCGGATCTAGCGAAATATAAGACCTAAAAACGAACAAATCGTAAAACTCACTTGTTCGAGGTAGTGATGGGTACGACCGGATCTGTAGCGCATGCGCACTACAATTATTTATTATAAAACAAACTTGTAAATAATTAAGAAATTACTCGCTCACAAACAATGAAAATGATATATTTGTAAATCACCAACGGTTTCCAATCAATTACAGTTATCAGTTATTACAAGATCTGTTTATTATAAAAAATTACTAAAAAGTTTCGGCTCACATCATGATTGAAACAAAACTGCCAATTACAAAAGAACTAATTTGTCACAAACGTTAAAAATAGACTCATAATCAATCACAAACGATTTACAAACAAAATACACTAAGAAAAATTAAAAATAATCATATTTTATTATTTCTTCCGGCTAGCTTCATGTAGGTTTCTCTATATGCAGATCTAATCTCATCTGGGGTATCTGGGACCCCTTGAATCATGACCCTTCGAAAACAATATTATGTCCAGTTTTTTGCTGGATCGATTTTTCGAAACGCTGCGCATCAGCCATCTATCGAAGGGTAGTTGAAGCTAAATGCAACTTACCGACTGCCGAAGAATCGATCGATAAGCCGGCAAACAGCTTCCGTCAATTCCCGATAGAGGGTGCTACCCTGTTTCGGAAAATCGATCGGTAAGTTGTTGAATGCTGGAATCGTATTTCAGGAATACTTACTTAATTTGCGGCGGTCTTTTTAAAATACAAGTTTGCCTAATAATATCTTTAATAAATTTTGGTCTTATACTAATCTTGACTGATTTCCTAAACAATAGAATCATAGGAAGTCAAAATTGCGTCTCTATGTCTATGCATGCCCCTGCTAGATGCTATACTCACTGTGCTTTTGTATAGACATAACTTTACTTTAATTTTCTCCGGTTCGGCAAAAAGGGATGCATTTTTACATCCCGTTTCCTCCTGGCGGCGTACTTTGGGTACTTTGTCCCCTTTTGCCCAACGAACATTTTCGGCCACGCGCACTTTGCGCGCGTCTTTTCGAATCTCATTCTCTTTTGCATTTTACATTGTTTCATACATTTGCCATGCTTTTGCTTCTGTTTTTACGCCATACTTTTACAATTTTTTGCTTGAGTCTGTGTGTATGTGCGTGCGTGTGTGTCCCCTTTTAGTCGCCTCTTACGACAGGCAGGGGATACCGTGGCCGTATTCCAAACCCCCCGAGCCACAGGGGTCTATACAGACATAATCGCACTTACAAGGGGAATTACCCAAGTGTTACACTCACTTATTAATGAAACTTTGCCAGCTTGTAGAGCTCGTCGAGCTGAACATGCTTATACCCCGTTTTGTGGGCAGACGACTAATTGTTTAAAAGATATTAATAATTAAAGTTAGTTACTACTTACATTGGGAAGTATGACAGACTCACACATACAACTCGCAATCTAGAGATTCACGGTCCAAATCCTTGATTCCCAACAGTTTTTTTTAATGATAATTTGTCTCTTTTTGAATAACTATTACATAAAAATTATCATAAAAAAAAAATTTTTTTTGGGAACCAAGGATTTGAACCGAGGACCTTGAACTTGCAAGTCACGGATCTGCTCCGTGGTTAAACACATGATTCGTAATCTAAAGGTCCTCGGTTCAAATCCTGTGGGTTCCCTTTTTTTTTTATTATTTTTTTATAATGATAATTTTCATGTAATAGTTATTCAAAAAGAGACAAATTATCATTAAAAAAAAATGTTGGGAACCAAGGATTTGAACCGTGGATCTCTAGATTGCGAATTGTATATGTAAGTTTGTCATACTTCAGAATGTAAGGAGTAACTAAATGTAATTGTTAATATCTTTTAAACAATTAGCCGTCTGCCCCCAAAAGGGGGTATAGGCATGTTCAGCTCGACGAACTCTACAAGCTGGCAAAGTTTCATTAATAAGTGAGTGTAACACTTGGGTAGTTCTCCTTGTTAGGGGTGACTGGGACACCAAACGTCATGACTCCTC